TTCTATTATTAATCATGAAAACATGTGCTTTTTAGAAATCTTACAAAACTGAGCAGATCTGTAACTCTGAAGTATTGTGGGTCATACATCATCGTAAAGAGCTTTGTCATATCTCTGAAGACCAAAGATTACCTTCTATCATCTGTAGACATGGTGCATTTTTACTCTGATGAAAAAGTCAGGAACATTCTTTTATAATGTTCTGTCTCAATGATAAGAACGAGAAAAAAAAATGAAATAATCATTTTCTTCTATCTTGGGGTTTGAGATATGCACGAACAATATTCTGCAATAATATCTTAATTTGAAGGAAGAACATTATAAAGAATAGGTGAGCAAAGCGTTTGATACACAAATTGTTGCATATCTCATATGATCTGTTATTCGTATCACTAGTTAGTTTGAATACATGGATGCTCAATTCGTTGTTCGCCGTGCTGACATTTCTGATATTGATGCATTGTCACACCTCTGTCAGATAACTATTCGAGAAGCATCTATGGAAGAGTTGTTCATTCCTTATTCTGAAGAAGATCTCGATTCTTACTTCCGTTCATCGGCAAGCCCTGAAAATTTTGCAAAGAAAATAAATGATCCGCAACAAGCTGTCTGGCTAGTAGAAGATAAAACAAATGGTGAACTTGTTGCTTACGCAGTTGCTGGTCCTTGTGATATTGAAGATATTCCTCATCCTGATGTTTGTTCAAATAAAGATGCAGCACTCAATCGTTTATATGTCCGACGTGATCGACGTGCGCGTGGATTTGGTCAACAATTAATGAATGTTATTTTACCTTGGTCGGAAGAACATTATCCTGCACGACCTTTATGGCTAACTGTGTGGTCACAAAATTTCAAGGCACAAAGGTTTTATACACATTATGGTTTTACTAATGTTGGTGGTTGTGATTATTACGTTGGAGAACGGAAGGAGCATGAATTTTTTATGAAGCGTGAAGCTCACAAATCGTAACTTTTTCATATTTATCATTTCATTTGTACTCCTTTCTAACAACTATCAGATTACTCAAATAAAATAAGTTTTTTGATTGAGTGAACGTTGTTGGTTCGCACTACAAAAATTATAAGAAACGACGACACCCTTAAATAACAAAGAAGAGAAGACGGAAAAATAATCTTACATTCTGAAATGCACGATGTAAACCTAACAAACGTTTCAATTCTTCTAATTTGACGTTGACCGGTATCTTGACTTTTAGTTCCTCCTTCCGAAGATGTTTTTCGGTTCATCGTGCAAAGGAGGCGTCCAACAACATCGTCAGGTTACAAATTCAAACTTAGATAATTGAGAACAGTATTTCTTAATTGTTGGGTAGAAGAAATTTTTATTTGTTTTATGTTACTAACGTGTCGGGAAGCGTGAACAGTACTCAAATCGTTGAAAAGTTCAGTAGTCAACGAAGTTCAAGTGTCAGATATCTGAGTCTATTTGTTTAGTAGTAATTATTTTTCGAAAATAAATCATAGAATGCCATGATGCTCTATTTCTTCAAGAAAAAGAATTTATCTGCAAATATGGAAGTTGAAATCCTTAACTTAGTAAGACTTTCATGGTTCTACAATGTACTGTATTTAGAGAACAACGTAAAATGTTGGAAATACTTGTACTACTATGGATGTAATGAGAAACAGCTCGATCATATAGCTCTTCGTAAGTTAAATAGAGTTTTTACTATTATTTTCATAGATAATTCGAGATTTGATCACTGGATTCCATAGCAGAGTGCATAGGGAAAATTATGAATAGTATATTTATTTTTATTACTCTTAGAATATTATAATACTGCATCATGGATTAACCTCTCAAGTTAATCATTTGATTTGCTTAAAGAAAAATCGAAAAATACTTCTTAAAGGGAGCGATTATGTAAGAGCTTGTTTTGACGAATGAAGATGCTTTCTTTTATCGATCTTGGTTGACTAGGGAGAATAGACGGGCAATTTTTCATACCTTAGTCTAGATCCGTCATTGAGGACATTGTGAGAGGCGGATGAATAATAGGGATGGCCTTTTCCTAGGAAAGGAAAGGTTAGTTATTTATCGGCAGCAGCAGGCCTCAAAACACTGTGACCTATCTTGATAAGTGCTCTCTAAAGCTGTAATATGATCAGTTCATCCTTTTTATGTTGATCATATGCTAACTATTGAACCTTGGCACTTTGGATTACTCGGACGCCCATGAACAATCAACATACGTTATCGCTATGTAGTATACGACAGAGTCCAAATGAAAAAAAAATCTTTCGTAAATGAAGAACTACTTCTACTGCGGATTTTGCTTTCAATGCAAAAGCTCATTTGAACTTTGAAAAGTGGTCTTTGCAGTGCAAAATCCATCTGTAAATAAGATCAGCACTAACCCAGGACGACTTTGCATATCTACCAAATCTATCTGTACTCTTGTCATTACTCCTAAAGAGATAATTGCTTTAGATACAGTAGGTATTTTAATACTTTTACGTGTTTGACATTCAACACATTGTTTCAAAAAAATATCAACAAAAACATGAGAAATCCACGCGTAGTTCGCTTGAATTTCTTTTAATGTTTTGTCTCTTCCTCCATGGGATATTCTCCTGTGGCATTCTCCAATGATTTGAAATAATGATTCGTAAAGTACAACGGGCTTGAGACTTTTTTTTATCACAGACAATGTCAATATCAGCAGTATTTATTAACACAAAATTATTTTTTGACCAAAAAATAAACTTTGCTGAGAGATAAACAGTTTTACTTTCTCTAATTTCAATGCTACCATGATATCATCGTAGATCCTCTTGTTAATAACAGCTTTTGTACGATATTGTTCTTTTAATGATGAAATGTGGTTATCGGTTTCTTTGAAAAAGTCAGCTTCCCTAACATTGTCCGCAGCTGTTATTGCGATGACTGAACATGAAGTCGTTGTTGTGATGACTGAACATTGAGTCGTTGTTGTGATGACTGAACATTGAGCTGTTGTTGTTATAATGGTTAAATTAGGAGCATTTGGGTTGTTATCATTCATAATCAAAAATCGTATTGTATGAAAAAAGTATGATATTACGTGCGTCTTGTCTAGTGTATAGAACAAGTTAAAATGATGTGAAAAATGCGCATGGCAGATGTTAGATTATTTTTCACTTTTACCTCGTTCAGTCGGTTCAGTAACGGTTAACACTTTTAACAAAATCACTATTTTACGTAACAGCAATACAGCTATTATCTCTATTTAATCGATGTAAAAACAAGAGAAAGATAACAACTCGTCAACTGACGAAGAGTACGATATTGGAGGGGGGAGGGGGGAGAAGGAGAAGAAAAAGAAGTGCAAAAAATAACCTTTAGACAATGTGATTGTTCATTCATTTTTGTAAAATATTTATTTTGTTTCTATAACTTGAAATCTATTTCCGTTACATTAATTCCACTCTTACCTGGTCAAATTCCAGATTTCACTACGGATAAGTGGAATCGGCATATGTATGCATCTCATGAGTCACTGTTATATGCATTATCTTCTGAATTGGATGTGGTAGCATACTATTTTGCGGACGACACCGATCTTTGCTGTCGTTTGAAATTCATGGTGTCGTAGAACTTGCCAGCGTATTATGATTTTGTCCAGCATGTAGTTCATTCCGAATGTGTGGAGACCCCTCTTGACGAGACAGACTG